CAAGCAGCGAAACAGCACCTAGCAATCCAAGCCCTAAGACATTCCACGAGAAAAGCCTCAAGAGCTCAACATGTGCACATCGTGGATGGTATTGGCACTCCATGCCAGAGCATGCATGGTTGATGATGAGCACTCTGGCGGGAGCACGATTTCGATTTTTGGGAAGTTCCGAAGCCTTCTAGACCATATCCACGCCGAAGTAGGCAGTGCGGTGACGGGAGGGCGATTCATACAGGTCGGCAGCTTGAGAGTAGTGGATTTTGCAATGACTTCGCCGCCTCGGCGCACCGGTGCGCCTGCCGAGGGCGCCTGCAGCGATCCAATCCTGCTAAGAAACCCCATAGTGCTACCATGCTGTTTGAGCAACGAGGCATTCTACACTGGGTCAGTGTCTCAGTGGACAAGGTACTCTTTTGCTTCTTTGTTAACGGCTTCCTGGCCATCACAGCCTATGCGTGCTCCGGGACAATGCAGGGTTAACCCTAGTTGCCTGTCTGATGTCATAGAAAGCCAGGTATTTCGAAGTGGAGCTCACAGAGCACTCCGACCCGAAGTATGAGAGATGGAGCCCATCTTCCTGGTTTCAGATCTCAGACATGTTCGCGAAGTTTTGCTGCTATCCTCTCGACGGGTGCAAGGTATTGTCATAGGACAGCCTTTGAGAACTGATGACAACCAAGTTTCATGATGATTCTAGATGAGAGCAGCTTGGCCGAGCCATGTCTTACGACGTTCAGAACAGCCGGACAAGCCTACTGCCAAGTGTCGGCATCGCTCACCGAGCATACAGACTGTTGGAAACATACCTTTTCTGCTGCAAGCCGAGCGTTGGTGCGATGGCCACGTTCCCTGTGACTCTCCGGGCAGCGCTGTCTGGTCAGACCCTCGCCGAGGTCGAGGCACGAGCTGCACTATCAAGTATCATGTTCCTACGGCGGTGCGCTGGCCTTCGCCAGGTTTATGCGGATGACACAGTTCAAGCTTTGCGGGCTGCTTTGCATTCACAAGAAGGTCCCAAGCTAGGGCTTCTCATTGCTACGGGGCTGATGCATGTCAAGCTCTCGTTGAACGCCGCCATCACTGCAGCTCTAGTGGTAGCAGCATGCAGTGCAATCAGTGTCAGTGTGGCCATTGGGTAAATTGTACAGCTTCCCAGCACGCATGCTGTTCGAACGCGTTCCAAAACTGCTGAGAGCTTTTATGACCACTATTACATTGCCGGAACACACTAGCACCTTCGTTCGTCGACGTAGTGTCGACGTCTTCTTCAATCCTGTGAACCTGACGGTCGCGAAGGGGCCGCTGTGACTAGAACACGAACGGACTTAGTTCAGCGGAGCTCGAGACGTCGACGTTTGAGAGGTCACACACACATGCACACAGAGTGTATAGAGAAGTATACACACGAAATCATGCTGACCTCCGAGACTGTTGAGCCCAGCCGTGTTGAAGTTTCAGCAAGCTGTCACGCGACAACGCAGACAATCCGCCGTGTCATAGATGATGCCACGGCCCTCCATATTACGGATGGATCAAAGAAATGCTCAAGAGGCAGCGTTCCTAGTCATCATATGTTTCTTTGGCAAGCGCGGTCTCCCCGCGGTTTCAACAGGCGCGCAACCGACAGGCAGGAGCAAAGGCAGTGAAATGGGGCCGAGGTCAGTGCTCCGAGCGGCTACTGGCTGTTTTTGTTCAGCACACGGTCTGGTATGTGGGTCCCGGTGTCGGGAGACGGCAGCAGCGGCTGCTCGAGCTTACAAAGGAGTTGCTTGGACGTTTTCACTTTGTAGTGCGTCGCGGAGATCTGTTCAGCTTGGTAGAACAGCTACAATGGGCAGGCTGTGTTGCCTTTGTTACTTCTTGCACACAGCAAAACCTTGCTCTGGCATTCGACGAAGGAGTTTTTGTTGCGATTTCTATTGAAGTCATCGGTCACGTTTGTTCATCGGTTTTCGTCTTCTTTGTCAGTTGTTGTGTTGTCTTCAGTAGACATGGTCCGAGAGTGCTACTTGCTGATTGACGAGGAGGTTGTATGGTGCGCTGCGACTTCCTGTTTGGTGGCAAGGCCGGAAGCACCTCGAATGCATGTGCGTGTGTGTGTGTGTGTGTGTGTGTGTGTGTGTGTGTGTCTGCATGTCATCGGAGCCACGCCTCTTTCGGCACATCTTTTCCAAATCCCATGTCCTTGCAAACTGCTCGTGCGACCTCAAGCTCGGTTTGGACAGCCACCTCGTAGTGCTTGTGTTTCTGAAATCATCCGCACAAGTGCCATGGCAACACCCGTGCCCACGTTGCTGTGCCGGCCTGAACTTCACACAGCCGACGTCTCAGTCAAGAACACCTTCATTGATGGCCACGCAGAAGACAGCGATTCAGAACCTGCACAAAGGGCTCGCTATGCGACATGCCCGGGCCCAGATGTGAGCCCGAGCCTTTCCGAAACCACTGTTCCTGGAGAGTCTCCGGTGTCAGAAACACCTGACAGCACCCTGACCTCCAGTTGCAGCAGTGGGCCAAGCATGCCACCGCAGATGGAAGAAAAGATGCCGAGGGGATTCTTCAAGACTCTGGAATCGGACAGCTCAACTCCCAGAGACCATCTCCGTAACTCGACTTGGGGCATGCAAAGCGAGATCAGCACACCGCGTGGGGAGCGACCTGGGACAATGGAGCAGTGGCCCGAATATCCGAAGCAAAGCACGCGGCCACCGTGGGCACCGCCAGCGCAGCCCCAAAACCCTCCCGCGACGCCGTGCATCAATCTGTGCAGTGCACTGCCCTCGGCGCACCCTTCACATCCGGCTGTTGCTTGTCCGGTCGCTCCAGCCGGAATGGTCTACCCGGGTGCATTCCCAGTCCCATACCCAGCTTGTTTTCCTTACCCAATGGCCACACCCTATCCGCCCACCTATCCTCCGCGGCTTCCCATTTGGAATCCTGTGGACCCCTTGGTGCAAGCCCAGCAGCTGCAGCTGCAGCAGGCCCTCGCGGTGGCAGTGACGGCAGCCTCCTTGTGCCCCGCTGCGGTCCCTCCGACGGCTCCGGTCGCTCTCATGCCTCCTGTGCTGCCCCATCCCCTTGTGCCCCACGTCATGGCTCCCGACTTGGCCTCCCTGGCCTCCTTGCAGCAAGCTGAGAGTCAAGACGTGCCTGCTGACGCGGGCGAAGAGAGCGAAGAGCGGAAGCCTCGCTCCAGGAGGGCACGGCTTTGGGCGCACATCTACTTGCGGATGCAGCAGGATGGCTTCGACCTTGTGCCGCGCCTCATCGGCAGGAAGGGCTGCAACATGCGAAGGATTGCAGAGCAGACTAGCGCGAAGGTGCGCATCCGTGGCCAGGGCAGCGGCCACTTGGAAATCGATGGCAAGTACGAGGCTCCCACGCCGCTCATGATTGCAGTGACGACGGACCATGCCGACCCCCAGATGTTCAAGCAGGCGATGCAGATGACGCTCAAGGTGCTCAAAGCTGTGGAAGGCTGCTACCATGCCTTCTGTACTCGGAACGGCATCGAGCACTCGGGCCCTTGCTATTGTGTGGGCTTTTTGCAACCGAAGGCGCAAGAAGCTTTGGGCTCCTTGCTTGACAGCGTGCCTCAGAATTTGGAGGAACCTCAGAACACGAACGTGAAGTCTGAGCCGTGCCAGTAAGCCAGCAGGCTGACGATTAAGAGACTGGCCTGGATTGGTAAAGGCTGTAGTGCCATGACTGTAGTCATCTCAGTCCACGAAAACAGCTTTAACCAACCCCAAATCTTGCTCCGAGTACGGCTGGTCGCGACGAGTTGCCTTTACTGCACCAGGCCCTTCCGACGGTCCAGGTTGCAATCGGATTTGTGTGGAAGCTCAGAAGTTCCGTCTCTGCATCGTAAAAGTGCTTCTTCGTGAAGGGACCTCTCGGAATCCTGTTTCTGACACTGTACATTTGCACCGCGCTGTTCTGCCGCGCGACAGGCAACTTCGATATTAGGCCCTTCATCCGCAAATTGAGCTGAGTGTCCTGTACCCTGTTACTTGCGTGATTGTTTCGCCCCAAGTCTGTTGCGCTGGCCATTCGTTATTACCGAATTCGAAGCCGAAGTCGAATCTGAAGCATTTGGCCAGGACGGTTCAGAATGCATGCGTTTTTTGGACCTTCCACAACACTCCCATGTGCTTCGAACGGACACAGTAGGACTCGGACTGATTGAATTCGAATGTGGGAGGGTCCATCTCTGAATTTGTCAATCGAGATCGGAACCCGGTCGGCGAGTGAGATGCCGCGGTTCCGGTCTGGCCTGGATTGTAGCACTTCTACTGCCTCTTTTGTGCACCAAGGGTTTGTGCTAACAGTCCATCAGCACTCCACTGGGACAAGGACATATGTGTGGCTCATCTATATGGCGGTATCGGTGGCTGCAATACCGAGAGCCGGTTCGGGACGGCCAGAGGCAGCCGACCGGTCCGGACAAAGGTGTTTTTTTGTTCTGGCCGCTTGCATGAGTTGCATTCTCTCGGTCATGTCAGTCATGTTAGGGCTCACCCCTTGAGACTTCGGCGCAGCATGGCCGGCCAGCTTCCACTGCATGACCTAAGAGCTGCCCGAATCAGAATCTGCACAGACTCTCCCGACTAGTGACGCGCTAGCTGCATGTTTAGAATGCAGTTGCGCATTGGGGCTCTGCCCGGAGATCCCGGACGCTTTGCACAGCTGTGGTTGAGAGGTTTGCATTCTTCTGTTCGGAGTTGCATTGCGTCTCTCGGTGGATCCGTAGTCTTTTCAACAACCGTTCTGGTGCCCCCCGCAACTGCGACAGATTGCTTTCCGAAGGTAAATGCTGCTCCTGCGGCCTGCTTTGCAAGTGCCCGTGCATTGGACGGTGAGCTGAAATGGACGGTCGTAGCCAAGCCGCTACGATGCCAAGGGTTGTTCGGAGGGACAGCTCTGGAGACGCGACGAAGAAGGATGTCAAAACACCTTATCCTTTCACTAGAAAGAGAGCGAGGCAGAGCTGTTCCGAGCGCGGACTAACCTCAGCCATTGTGGAGGGCTTCAGATTTTGGTGCCAGCCTTGTCGGGCCTGTGTCCGCCACTGCGACCGTCCCGCCTCAATTGCGCACGTAAGAAGACGTCTTAGAGAAGCCCAAGCCCATCATTTGAGATGACAGTCAAAGTCAATGCTATGCAATTGAAGCGCTGCCTAGATGTTTCCGATGCACAGTAGGCCAATTCAGTTGTCGTCCCTCTCTCTTCTTGACAGAAGGTATCCCAGCAGGCAAGATTGAAAAAAGGGCTCGCATGCAGTAGGATCACGATGTACAGGACGATCTGTCCCGAAACGTCAGCCGAGAGTGGCAGGTGCTCGTAGAGCACGAGCTCTTGGGGGATGCAGGCGTGCAGCCTGGAGGCTCAGTGGGACATGGTGGGATTCTCGTGGCTGAGCAGTTTCCGGGCTTCGAGGTGTTGTGGACGTCCTCCGGAGTCAGGGGCCTTGGCTCGCGGCGGCGTGTGCCGATGGCGCCGCCAGGCGCACTGGCTTTGCTCCTCCCTCTCTCGCTCTCTCCTTCGGAAGGTTGGGGGGGGCCGGGGTCTACGTTGCTTGGGCGTCTGGGGTAGTACAGTTGTACAGTAATACAGTAATATTACAGTAATACAGTAATACAGTGGTACAGAAGTACAGTAGTAGTAGTTGTAGTTGTAGTTGTAGTAGTAGTAGTAGTAGTAGTAGTAGTAGTAGTAGTAGTAGTAGTAGTAGTAGTAGTAGTAGTAGTAGTAGTAGTAGTCGTAGTCGTAGTGGCAGTGGCAGTGGCAGTGGCAGTGGCAGTGGCAGTGGCAGTGGTAGTGGTAGTGGTAGTGGTAGTGGTAGTAGTCGTAGTCGTAGTAGTAGAGGTGGTGGTACAGTAGTGGTACAGTAGTCGTACAGTAGTAGTACATGAGAAACAAAAAGATCTGGCAGCCGTACAGAACCAGAGTTTGGAGCCTGGGGCTGCGGCCTTGAAGGCTGGAGGCTCTAGGTTTGTATGAAGCCTTATGGCTTTAGGGTGTCAGCTTGTAGTAGGAGTGGCTACTTCCCTAAAATTTACGACTATTGAGGGTGTGTTTATGATTACATGCAGGCCGGTTTAGCTCTATTGAGGGGGCCTGTACTAATCACGAGGTCACATTATCGGGGCCCGAAACCACGGTGTTCTTCAGCCATAAGGCCATAAGGATCATCTTGTTTTGCTGCTCCGCCTGCAATTGTCCCTTGCTGTCAGTCACACTGTGAAGCGTGAGCATCCGAAGTTTGCTGAGGGATCCGTGAGCACCTCGCGAGGCTTTGGGACTTGAGCTCGGGCGACTGTTTCAAAACGCTCCACGGGGACGGTGCAGGTCTTCGTGCTTGGTCTGCATCTGACACCCACACTGCACAGGCCCTCCCACCGTTCCGCCCGCTTGCTCGTGTCCGGCAGCGAGTGGTAAGGCAAAGTCGTCCTGCTTGCCGACCAGCAGCATGCTTGCGTCTCAGCGCTTAAGGAGGATGCTAGGACCTGGTAGGAGAAACACCTGGCACGGGCACTTTCAATTTTCGAGGTGTTGACTGGATCAGATGACGGCACTGCGATTCTCTGGAACTTGGGAGGACAGGAAGAAATCGAGAAACCAAGCTTGGATGAGATGCAGGCATGCTTCGTAGAGTCTCTGCAGCAGTGCAGGAGCTGGTCATCGGACCCTTGCTGATCATGGGGCCTGCGTCACAGCGACACGACTTTACGACACACACACAGTGACACACTTCGACAACCCAAGGGCAATAATCACTTCAAGCAACTCCCATCTCAGGAGGTCTCAGCATCGCCTGACAGCAAGCTGGTGCTGACCATTGCTCACGGCGAGCTGCGGGCGATTCGGTTTGCACGGAGAACATGTCGAGCAGCTAGCCACCGGTCTTGTAGTGCTCGAAGGTGTTTCGAACCGGCTCTGGGGAATGCATATGGGCTCTGGATGATGAGTATATTCTCCATGCCTGCTTTGCGCCCAACTCTGCAGAAGTACTTGTAGCATCGAGCACCCAGCTTCGGCAACTCGGCTTCGATTCCGAGCACCTTCCACTAGAACACCCTGCTGCCTCTGCTTCTGCATGTGCTCTCTCTCTCTCTCTCTCTCTTTTTCTCTCTCACCCTCCGTCGTTCAGCGAGAGGGACGTGTGACACGACAGCTCCGTTCGAGGCTTTGGTGCCTGAACGAGCTTCGAGAAAGCGCCCGGCTGCAGGGACACGGCGCAGCGGTTCTGGCAGCGACCTACTCCAAAAATGGCCTCGGGCTCGGCAGCGCCCGTTGCCTTGAGCAGCTCGAATCGCGACAAGCTTCGGCCTCATCCTGAGGCCGCATGATCGTGTCTGCCTCAATCGACCACACGGCTCGAGTTTGGGATGCCAGCAGTGGGGCGTGCCTTCACATTCTGCCTCTTGGCATAAACTTCTCAATCGTTCTCAGACTGACCCGGACGCTTTTCAGGTCTGGGCATTTGGACTCCGTTAGAGCACTCAGCATCTCTGCAAGCGGGGAGCTCCTGGCCACAGCATCGGGAATCACGGCACGCGCCATGGCCTCGGCAAGGGGGCTGGAAGTGGGCGGGCCTTTGGCACAGCGTGAGGTGTGGTCCTCTGTGACTGGGGCATGTGAGAGAGCCATCAGCAGCCATCCCGGTACCATCTATGCACTGCAGCTGCTTGGCGAACCTTTCGAGACAAGAGCTTGTCGTAGCCGGGCATAGTCTCGATTGCACGTTACTGCATCCCGCCGTTGCCTCGTCGCCGCTGGCCACGACCAGGATGATCCAGGATGCGACATTTTGCTGTGTGTGTCAAAGCTAGCAAGGTTTTCTGCGGATGCCCGGATCCTGCTTGTTGCCTTCGGCTGTGGGCGAGCGGCTAGGCCAGCAGTTGGCATTGCGCGCAGCGTTGTCTGAGAATGCGAAAGAGCTCGTATTCCACCAGCAACTAAGGAAGTGTTTGCTGGCCCTGCCAACAGTGCCTTGGCTGGCTAGGGGCGTTGTCGCAGTTTGTCGGGAAACTATTCTTTGTTAATTATTCATAAACAAAGCCGTGAATATATGTACGTGTGTATCTGTACCTATACATATACATATACATATAATATAATGTAATATAATATAATATAAATACCTCTAAATACAAATATACATGAACATGAATAAATGAATATACATATGTATATGATGTATGTGATGTATGTGTCTCTGTGTGTTTGTGTGCGCACATGTATACACACTGGCTGTTGCGGCTTTCAGCAGCTTCAGTTCGAGTGGACGGGGTTGAGGCGGCGTGAAGCTGTGGTGGACGCGATCCGTGGAGTGTATCGCCACCTTGCTCCCAGGCACCCGCTGGATTCTCTAAAGCTGTGGCTGGTGGTATAAGTTTCGATATAAAAGGTGCAGCGGGATGCCTCGGTTGAATGTGGTAGCCAATGATAGGCTGAAGAAAGAGGTTTGTCGATGTGTAGAACACATTCTGCCTCAATACGCGACCTTTCTTCAGAGCTAATTTGCAGATGCTGCGCGGCTGATCGCTGCGAATGCCCCGAGTCCTTGTTCCCACATTCTCTCAGGCGGGCTTGTGATCGCCGCGACCCTTTTGCCGGATGCTTCCAGGGTGGTCACCGCCTGCTCGGACCGCGCCGAGCCATGGCCACAATGGCCAGAGGTTTCGAGGAAGACCATACTGAGCAATGCACAGTACGTATGATGAGTGTGGGGTTATATTTATACATGTAGTTTCGTAGTTCAAAGGCATGCATGTATGCGTAGGGCTAGATTAGTGAGTGAGTGAGCGTCGACCGAGGCATGTGTCTGGCCAAAAACATATACCTGGACTAACAAATTGGCGACACCTCCAGCGCGAAGGCTTAAAGTGTCAGCCACAACAACACAACGCAACCACAGCAAACCACAACAAGCAGCAACGCAACGACGCAAACACAGCGCACAGACGAACGAAAAGGCCCGATTTAGCGAGAGGGCGTGATTGCTTCCGAACAGAAGGACCACTAGGCAGGCCCGCCACCTGCACCCACCGAGCAGACTACTGCCCGGCGGGCCGACATGAGGGCAAGACAGCTTGCCATCCGCGCGAGAACTTCGTTCAGCGCGGCTCTTTCTTCGGAGGTCACCCTTCAGGGTACTAAGCCAAGCAAACGCCGTCACCTCCGCTTAGGGCAGTGCGCCAGTCGAGTGCCTATAACGGCAAGGACGCTTCTCCACAGATCGTGCATCACGTCCTCATCCACCTCCACCATTTCCAGCACATAAAAGGCCCCCTCCCCAATGGCAGTCCTCCCCCGGAGGAGGGTTAGTAGAGGTACATTATGTATATATGTATACATAGTTATGTGCATGGATCTGTGTGTATGTACATATGTATCAGTATAAAGGTATACGTACCGGTAAATGTTTATGTACAAAAGTATATATGAGTGTGTGTATACTATAAAATATGTATATGATATGTCGAAATGTACGCAATGTGTCACATACATGATTACATACGTACATACATACACGCAGACGTCAGACAGGTAGTCAGGCAGGCAGACGGACAGACACAGACGTACGCACATACAGGCATCCATGCATGCATCCATGCGTCCTTACAGACATATACACATAGACCCGCGTGTCCATGGGCCCATCCATCCATCCGTCCATCCATCCACCCATCCATCTATCCATACATGTTACGTGCGCATGCGCACATACATTACGACGTGCGCACATACATACTACATACTTACGTACGTACGTACGAAGTACCGAGCTTGGGAAGCCTACCCACACCACCGAGGTGCAAAATACCAGCGGGTTCAAAGTCGACGTCACACTGATCAGCCAAAGTTCCACATGGGAAAAACATCGCAGGATGCTCGCGACCTGGAAACAAAGTTGCAGGCACACCCGGAGGAAACGTGTTCGTGCGTCAACGGACACACAGACACACAACAGACACACAACAGACACACAACAGACACACAACAGACACACAACAGACACACACAGAGAGAGACACAGAGAGACACAGAGACACACAGAGACACACAGAGACACACACAGACACACACACAGACACACACAGACACACAGACACACACAGACACACACAGACACACACAGACACACACAGACACACACAGACACACACACACACACACACACACACACACACAGACACACACGGACACACACACACACACAGACACACACAGACACAGACAGACACAGACACACACAGACACACACAGACACACGGACACACAGACACACCCGTACACACACACACACACACACACATGTCCATAATTGCCATATGCATATGCACATGCGCATGCATACACGCATATGCATATACATACACATATGTATACATATCTGCATATATATGTATATTCCCATGCATATACACGTCTGTATGCACTACATATACATACATATGCACAAATTTGATCATGTATATCTATCCATCAGACTGTATCATTCAAGTCTTTACATGCCCTCTCATGCAGTGCTTTGTCGAGGAGCTGTAGTGCTGTATTGTGCTGTGCACCAAGGAACTTTGGGATGCTGCAACCGGAGATCGGTTGCTGAGGCTTCCATGTGCAGGCAGCACTATTCGTGCTGTGATGTTGTCCTGAGCAAATGATGCTGATAACGATATTATCTGCAGCACTAGCCGGAAGAACTGCCTGCCTCAGCTTTGTTGTTTTGCAACACCATGGGCAGCAGAGTCTACCATCCATGACAATGTTTCTATTGGATGGCGTCCACTTGACATGGCAGGGGCCTTGCCCTGCCCACAGCCTCGCCCGAAAAGCGGGCCAGGTCTGGTAGCTCTACACTTAGAGACCCTGGAGGTCTCAGCAGTATGTGAGCATCATGTGGCAAAAGCAGATGTATGTGCATCGCCATCGCTGAGCTGCGATTGGAAGGCGCGCCTTGTCTGTGGCATAACTGCCCGAACTGTCGTGCAGGACACGGGATCAGTGGCTGGACTGGGCACTTCCAGCCCGGATCTCGGACGGGAGCTGACCTTGAAGCGACGGAGCTGCCGTGTAACCTCGGAATCCTTGGATAGAAGACAGGTGCAAGCTGTTTCGGATTCTCGGATGTATCTGAAGCTTGTGCCATTGGTCCGGCCCATGCTTTCGCTCCCATCCGCAGAACGACGAGGGTGTTCGTGGGCTCTTGTGCCCACTGCGGGCAGCCGCCCACTTGCGGGCTGACCTTGCCTTCAGACACCACCCGAGCAGAAAACGACTTGAGTCGCACATATTGCAGTGAGGTGGATGTCTCTGGGACTCACCAGTTTTGTTGTGGTGCAAGTCTGCCGTTCCCATCCACAGAGGAAGCCATGAGGCAAGGGAACCCATGGAGGTCCCCCAAGCACTGAGCACTAGTTTCTCCGTGGCCGGAGTTGGTGCTCACAGATCGTCTCAGACAGGATGGCAGTCTAGGCCTCTAGGCCTGAATTCGCTCAGTGCATTTACGGAAGCCTTGCCACTGATTGCGAGCGTTCGGGCATGTCCCGCTCAGTTCTGGCACCAGGCTGGTGCTAATCATCGAATCTGCACGCTGAGGCTGTCATTGTGCGGTAGCTTCAGTTTCCACGGCCACTAAGGGCCCGGTATACAGTCGCGTGACGGGCAAGGCGCCAGGCTCCAGCAGGAAGATCGGTCGATGCCCCAGTACAGCTAACATCGCAAAGCATGACAGCCACCGCATCTGCTGGGCAAGGCCTTGTCGACGACGAGGACGACGGAGATGTTTCGGAAGATGAGGAGGAAGATGAGTGAAATGGGTGGGGGTGCGCATTGGAAACCCCCGTAGACTTTTGTGCAGTCCTTTGCTTTGGACAAGCACTAGTTCTAGGAGCAGATTGCCAGACCATCCATGCGCATCTACCACCTCTGTCTAGCTGTCTAGCATGTCAGGCTCGGCCAAAGGCAGTGGGCAAGACATGCAACAGCACTAGATTCAGCAGATTCGCCTGCGAAGTCAGAATTTAAGTAGTGGCTTTGCGTCTTCTCTGATTCCACATTGTCTTCAAGCAGAGTTATTGGCGAAGCAACAGGCCAGTACCTTGCAGGAGAATGCAACAGAGAGCAGAACAAAGCCGAACTGGAGCGAATTGCGGTAGGGATGTGCTCGCTGGACCTTCCGCGAGCAGGTCCGCGGTTTCACACAAAGCAACACGCTGCAACACGTGCAGCACGTCTGTCCCGCTCCAGTCTCGAAAACCAAAAAGCAATGCAATGAAATGGGTCGTTGTCAAACTTAGGGTCCCTTTTTGGGTCCTTATTATGATACGGCACCTATGGGCCGTTGTCATGCATTAGGAGCACCCACGGCGCGCACCTTGCATGACATTTACTTTGGACGTCATGCGCGCGTAGCTTTTTGGTTTAAGCATGACCGCGTAGGCGGAGTAGGGTAGGATGCCCGGGCCCTGGTTCCTCCCTAGAGAGGACCA